TGGTTATGAAAAATACATCATTACATGTATTTACATCTGTTAACTACATAACAATTACATTAACAGTAGAGAGCTGAGATTTGTGTAAATACAAATTTTCCTCTGGTTTCTGACATTTGATTGTCATGGTTACCTACTGTAAAAATGCTAAAAATACAAAAATACTGATAATTCCAACTTAACACTACAACTTTCTAGAAGAAATTTATTCTAGACACCAATCTTAAAATCAACAACACTGTCGTGGTAACAAAGTACTTATATTTCAGCAAATTCCAACTCGGAAATCCTTCATAACATGACCACATATAAACACTTTGAAAATTTCACTTCCTGTAAAGCTAGTTTGTTTGTGCGTAGACACCGATTCGAGACTGCCCAAATAGTAATCTCCAACACAAAGCTAAAATATCATTCTGAAAAAAATGAAACCCAACATTGTCCTCTTTAATATGACAAGACCAATTTTAGCAAGGATTTATTTTTTTAATTTTAATTAAAACCTTTATAATGGGATAATCTAATGAACAAAAAAATCATCATGGCCACATCGAGAAACTGTGTACTGCTACCTTTGGATTATGATTCTATTTACATGTTGGTGCTTTCTTGATGTTTTAGGTTTATCAAAGTACGTTATTTGAAATGAAAATAATATGAAAATCAATCTTAATAACAAGAAAGCAATTATTTGACGTAGACTTTTTATTTTCCAATAAACGTGTAATAAAAGTATACTACCTATTTATGTATTAATGGTATGCTCGATATGCTATAGTTAGTGTACAGGTAACGAATAGTTTTATCGTGTGTATTCATCCTTGGTATTACACCCTTTACTCTGTCGATTATGATATTAACGTCTATATTATCCAGGCTATGCCCACATGTATATGTGTGAGACGGGCAGAGTCATGGAGACGATAAAGCATCATATCATCGGAATCACTGAAATTTATTAAAGTTTTTTAACATTTACCGAACAAATCTGAGTATTTCATAGATGGATATGATTTTTTTCGTAAACGACAGTCCAACAAACCGCCATTGGTGGGGGTGGAGGGTGGGTGGGGGTAAGGATTACATGTAAATTCAAAATATAACGGAATAGAAATAAACATGGAGAGCGACTTAAGGAGAGCATCTGGGTGAAAAAAAGCAGTCTAAATATACAGGAGCCCAAACACAAACGAGGATAACACCAATGAACTCCGAGTCTCGGGGTCAAAAGTATACAGTTATTTACTTATTATGGGATATTTTAACTTACCGAAAATTAACTGGGATTCCTGGGATTTCAAAAATGATAAAGAAAATGAAGTATTCATCGAGTGTTTAAGGGATAACTTCCTCTACCAGCATGTAAGGAATTTCACACGATTTAGAGGAGGAAATGATCCACATATTTTAGACCTAATGATAACGAACGAAGAGGAAATTATTAGAGAAATTCAATATAATAGCCCAAAAGGAAATCGTGACCATTTAGTTCCAAGTTTTGGTTTCTTCTGTGAAGCAGCTTGACCTGTTAACAAAACACCACGGTTGCGATACGACAAAGGCGATTATGAAAGCATGAGAGAGGACGTCCTGGTAAATTGAAATGAGATATTAAAGGGCGACATCGATGATATGTACAAAAAATTATGGATGTTATTAATAATAGTGCAAGTAAACATATTCCAAAGAGTAATCCGAGACAACAAATAAATGGTTGAAAAGTTGCTAGAAAATCTAAATGAAAGCAAATCCAAAGGGCCTGATCAAATGCATCCAAACGTTCTCAAAGAATTACGAAAGAATTTAAGCGAGCCTTTGTCATTTATATTCAACAAAGGGAAGCTGCCTCAAATATGGAAAGAAGCTAACATAACGGCCATTTTCAAGAAAGGGTTAAAGCTGGATCCGGGAAACTATAGACCTGTTAGTGTTACTAGTATTGTGGTAAAAAGTTTGGAAAAACTTGTTAAGGATAGTATTGTAAACCTTATGAACAAACTTGATTTATTAAGTTTTAAGCAGTTCGGCTTTATTTCTCGCATGTCAACTCAATTGTAACTACTTACAGTGTTAGAAGAATGGACGAATATAATTGACAGTGGAGATCAGCTGGATGTAATCTACATGGATTTTATGAAGGCATTTGATAAGGTGCCACATCAACCTTTAATCACAAAACGCGCGGGCTACGGAATAAATTTACAAATTATCAATTAGACCGGAGACTTTCTGAGTAATAGATGCCAAAGAGTTATTGTTAATGGAGAGTTTTCGAAAAGATATCCCGTGATTAGCGGTATCCCTGAAGGAAGTGTTTTGGGACCAATCCTATTCTCATTTATATCAATGACCTACCAGAAATACCTGTTTCTTCATCGCCTTTGTTTGCTGATGATACTAAATTATACCGACAAATAAGTAATCATGAGGATGTAAAAATACTCCAGGCAGATTTAGATTATCTTCAAATTTGGTCGAAGAAATGGCTATCAAAATTTCATCCGAACACGTGCAAGGTCATGGCAGTAAAGGGATATGGAAAACGAAACTATTCTAAGTGGGGAAAAGAAGGCGAAGTTATTCAGTTAAAAAATATAACAACGAAAAGAACCTTTTCGTCATAATAGATGAGGACTTGAACTTCAAAACTCATATTCAGTCGATGGTGAACAAAGATAAACATATGTTTATATTTGATATGGATAAAGAGGGTTTTTTTTAGAAAGCCTGCGTCCATAAGTTATCCTAATAAATCCTAATAAATCATCATCATCAGTATCATCATCAGTATCATCATGCCTTTGTGAGGATTGTCCACTCTCGCACGCCAAAGATCCTCCTGTGACTTTTCGTAAAATGAGTAGGCGCGATAACGCCGGTCCAAGGTCCAGGGAGGGAGTCAAACAAAACAAGTCATTTAGATGGACTTTAAAATTACCCTAACACAACCACAACTAGATGTTTTGAACATATTCTGATAGAAAAGTGACTTAAAATACAAAGTAAGTAAACTTTGATCCAATGATGAAAAATGACATGAAATGAAAAAAAAACTATTTTAAATCATGTCAGATATTTTTTTAATTAACCGAATTTACGAAGGATTCCATTTTAGGTATCGTTGAACCCTGAATCTATGAACACAGATGCTATTGACATGTAACCAAAGCATGGAATGAAAACTGAAGGAAAGTATTTGTGAAATTTTAACAGATCTAGGAAAACTAGAAATAATGTTTATTATTTTTAAATTCTATAATCTTGGTATAGTCACTTTTGCTTTCCGGATCGAATTCCGCGGCAAATTCTTTGCTTTTTTTATGATTTCAGAATATTTTATTGCCTTGAAGTTGATGACCAATGGCAATTGGCAACAGGCAGAGCCTATGAAAGCCCTCTCCGCTTTGCTTTATTTCAATCTTTTGCGACCGAGCTTGAAAGATTATGTTTTTCAATTCTGTCTTTCATTTATTGACCACGTCTATCGTATATACACTAACTACAACGAAACCACCACGGACAGCTTGCCACCAAGCTGCATAATAACCGTGATGGTTTCATTTTTATTGCGAATTTTCCATTTCTGGGTAATAATATTCCTGCATACCCAAGCTATGATGTTTACATGTTGATTCGATATTCATTTATTTGATCCAATTATCGCGATTTTCGAGCAAGTATTAAGTTCACTGTCAAGTGAACACTGAAAGAGCGTGGTTATACCATCTCGATAAAAGTCACTGATTTTGAAAGACAATTATTCTTCTGTGATCACGGGTTGAATGTGTTTAACTTTTCAATCTTGTATTTGACGTTCCCAAAACGGTTATCAATGAATGGACATATAGATATATACTTTTATACGAATTAGACTTGGGGATAGAACGTTGTATTATAAGTATGTATTAATATTACAAATTTTATGTTTGCTATTCTCTATTTATACAACTATGTACTGGACTCTGGCCGGATGTACGGTCCAAGAATTTCTGGGAAAATCCAATGTACCGTCTTTCGCCATTCTTGAATGAGAATGGTTCTCAGATTGTAAAATGATCCTCAAAGGGCGCGAATTTTTCATTCTACACAGTCTTTGTTTTGTATTGACTTGTGATGATATTCACCATGTATAAGGGAAAAAATGAGTTATTTTTTACAATGCTATAAAGTGTACTTTCGTATCTTGGATACTGGATTTCTGGAATGTGAATTTGTTCCTCTGAACCGGACCGAGAAATTTATGCGGGAGCAATGAAAGACAAACTGACCAATCAGAAAGCTATTAAGTATGACAAAATGTTAAATATTTACATATGCAAATCACAAAAGGTCAGACAAACCCGTCTTTCAATTCTGACCACTATGAAATATTCTTTATTTGCGTTTGTACATACATATACATAACAATTTATAATAACATGATATGATAAATACATATGTAATGTAAGTTAAGCGAAATAGTTCACGACTTATCAAATATAAAAACAAATATAGGTCAGCGATGATCACAGGTAATATTTGCCAGCGTGACATCAATCTTAGTTGCATTTAGAAGTCGATCGATGCCTGAATCACCAAACGTTTTACTGATGCGACAATTTTGATCCTTTTACACGTACGAAATCAATTTATTTGTTTAATTGCATGTAACACTTAAAACTGACAATAATTGCACGGTACCAGTTAAAAAGGTACACAAATCCCTAAAACAGCTACATATGAAGCCTACAAATGCATTGTCCACCAACAATATTACGTGTATGGCTGTTGACAGTGGTTGTACACTATGAAATAAAGAGTGTCATTAACACCTGTTCACATACCAAAAGACACACTGTATCATCAATTGATCTGTTGTTTATGTCATGCAAGACATGATAGAAATTCTGTTGTGTTGGCTGATATGAACTATCAACCCCTAAACGACGTCAGGAATCGTCTGAATGAATTTCTGTTAGGACTGCAGAAAATCTGTTTCCTCGTAATGTCTTGTCAAAGTTTTATGGATCCTCTGCCCTTTGCACAGCTTCCTGGGCTTCCTTCCGACTAAAATAGTTGTATAGAAACACTCCTGGTACTATTACAGCTAGTCCTGCCAGAGTGAACCCTGTTTTAGCGTCCATAACTGGGTGCCACAAAAGAATGTCTGTTTTGTTGTTATACGTGAAAAGTGTCCAGAAAATGGTGACTATTGGAGTTACCATTGCTTGAACGATGACAGCGAACACTGACCCTTCCGCATACTGTATCAGCAGATATTGAAATAGGTTCCCGAAAACGTAGCCTATGTTAAAAATCCACGACTTTCCGGCTAGTCCAAGGCAAGAATCGGCTGAACTGTACAGACAGGAAAACCCTTTCCCGAATTTATTGAAGAACTGAGAAGCTGAATCGGACTGAAATGGATACAAAAGGATAAATATAGAATAAGGTTTGTCAGGTGAACTCGTTCTAGTAAACATTTTGTCCTGCTCAAGACTAGATTTGAAACACGCAATCTTATTTACATTCCGATGTTCCAAAAAGTAACTCTTGACCCAAAAACTATCAAACATGAATTACACAGCAACGCGACCAAATGGTCAAGAGGACAAACGAGAACTGAAACTTTTCAAAAAAACATATTAATTACTGCATACGGAGTAAAAATTCGCGGCAGTTAAGCTTTTGACTGTTTCACACTTTTTTCAACTGGTTAAGATAGAATGTTGGCTATTGATAAACCTTGAAGTAGGATCAGTTTTAGGAAATGGTGGGAGATCATTGCACCTTGTTGTATGAAGTATACAATATAAATAATACACAAATTAATAACTTCAACAAAATTCAAAGTTAGGTACATTAATTAGCCAACTCATGATTTGATAACTGCGTGAGCTGTCATACAGCTGTTCCATCCTTCTGAGAATAAATAAAATTACCAAATTGCATCATTCTAAATTTCAAATTATTTACTCTTAATCTAGCCACTGTTGCACATGGTATGTAGGGTTCCGGTGAAAACCTCAAGGACCTGTGTTCTCCTGAAAAGTAGAATTTCACAAGTTGACTGCAATGTTACAGCCTGTGTTATGTCAAGAGCATTGCATAGAAAATTCTTTTCTTACCATTCCAAATCCTGGTACAAAATCAGTCCAGAAGAAAAATACCATGGTGACGAATTGGAAAACGTTAGTCCACGTGATAAATCCAAGCGACTCACCCTAAAACAAACAAAATCAATAGAGAATATCAAACTTATCAAATAAGAATACAATGTTTCATACTTTTTTTCTAATCATATACATATACCTATTTATCCATTTGCTGGCCATAAATCTGGCCTATAAATGTGGACCGTCAATAATCCGGAACCTGTTCTACAACTTGTTTTTATACAACTATATAACAAGGATGGTACAAAAGACACACAAATGAATAACGCCTTACTTAGAGTTAATTAGAGTAGAGCCAAACAATGAAATAAAGAGCTGTTTCGTCCTTCTAGGAGTCGTCAGTGATGCTAAGGGTCTATATTTTGAAGTGTTTCATATTTTTTTTATTTTATTCATAGTCGACGAAACGTTTTCCCTACCTCATCTTTCTGTAATTCTTTTTCACAGAACACATTGCTTAACCCAATAGGTAGGAAACCAATCGTAAAACACAACGGCCAAAGAATTCTTTGGATGACGGTTGCACCCGTATTCTCTTCTTCCGAACCGTCGAGTCCAAACGTCTGAGGTTCTGTACTGATGAATAATCCAACCAATACCACGCACGTGCATAATGCCCTAACAGTACTTATACCTGAAATAAAATAAATAAATAAATAAACAGGGTTACTTACAATTCCTATTCCAAGATGACTATAAATATTCTTATCTTTAAGTGCTTTTCAAAAATATGCTTTATGATTTGCAAGGATAAAAAACAAGATAAACGACTGCAATAATTGACAAATCTCGATACAAATACTTGCATGATTTTTAAAAATGTGAAATGGTTGTGAGGCATTGATTTCAACATTTTTGACTTTTGGGCTATTGATCCATATCGAAGGGGAGCCATTCTAATCTTATCTAATCTTCTAGTGATATTCGTGTAAATATCTTATATATTTTTCACCTATTTCATCGGTTATACATATGAATGAAGATTCTGTAAACAGGCCATTCTTCTTGGTGGTGTAATGTATCAATTTACTGTATAGTAGTATAATTTCGAGGGGCTAGTATTCCGCGGCTCTTCCGGTTGGCGCTAGTTCACGAGTATTACATTTCGTGTTTACAGACTTAACAAATCACCTCATAGATTTTCATTTACAATAGAAATGTTCTCGAAATATTTTATTTTGCGCCGTCAATTGACGGCAAATAAAGTGAAATTATATCCCCGCGAATATTACAAACTTCACAGTATAGCAAAGAAAAGTTGAAAGCATTTTAAAATTGTATGTTTGGAAATTAAGCTATTTTCTTTACTGAAGTTTTACCTTTTCTGAGGAGGATGAGACGGCACAGAACCGTGTACGGTATCACAGTCGACGCCAGTATACCCTGTAGATAAGGAGGTGTTCTGTTGGAGGGACTTGCGTTTACAACCAGAATGCCATTCAGCGTTGTGAACAGTCCCATTGCAAATAAAACTTTCCAAGATGACTTTGGTCTCAGACTTGCGTTTGGGTCCATCTTTGAATACTTGACAAAGAGTGTCATCAACGCAAATAAAACAGATACTACTAAACTTGTATTGACGAGTAAGACAAAAGCGCGTCCTCCAACCTGGTTCATTGTATCGGCATAAACCGGAAGTGACGCATTCATCATGACATTCGTTATGACGTTGAGGACGGCTATAATAACATTTCGAAGTCTCGGTGGCAGGAAAGGACGATTTCTTTGTGACAAATCATATCTATCGTAAGGAACCACATTCACAGAGATTACTTTACTCCTGCCAAGCAAAGATTGACTTTCATCAACATCACCTTCATAAGAGCCGTCAGACATTGTGCATGTCTTCCTTTCACCGATCGGAATGAAATGATGATCATTATAAATTTACACTATATATATATATTTGAGCCACATGATGGTCAGCTTGACTCATCCTATATCTGATATCATCACCTGATCTATTGCACGTGGATGACCTTATCTGACCCCAGATATCTAATTTACTGATTACGTCCATCTTACAAATGTGAACACTTCTGATGATATATCTTCGTTTTTGCGATATTCATTACGAATTTTCGTCTAAAATACTTTGTTTATAGTCATACAACCATTCACAAGATCATGATAGGCACAGTATAACACAAGTTGTTTGCTAGGTGCTTGAAAATCAGGAAGTAATTTGAAAAGAGTATTGCACTTAAAATTTATATCGTTTTATAAACGACGTATTGTTTATGTACAAACATACGCAATGCTTATCACATACATGTATATGCCTGGAGTTTTACATGTGCAATGTTGTGCATCTCTTTCTAGGTGCCGTATTATTTCTGTTATGTATAGACGAAGTACACTTCTGAATGCTAAATTAATACGAATCTACAGTAAAGGTCGATGTCCAGATCAAATTTATATCGTTCAATATTTTATCTATGTTTACATACACTTAATCTGAAGGCAGTGGCGGGGGAGTTCTGTTGGAAACATATGATAATACAATGTAAATATGTGTCTACTGTGCTCTAATTCTTCAGAGCATGTGATTCGCAATGTTTCAGTTATATACAGATACCCTATATATGTTATAGATATTGTAGGTCACTGATATATATTATAGTTGGACTGTCTAGACCAGAGTAGCATATATCAATGATAAAGGTTTCGTCTGGGTGCTTTTGTTTAGACCAAAACACCATAGGTCTTTGATAAAGGTTATGTCTGGACGCCTTTGTCTAGACCAAAACATCATAGGTCTCTCATATAGGGTTCGTCTGAATCAGAGCGTCGGTACAATTCTATAAAAAAAAACATCATGTGAGGAAAGTGCATGTGATTGACACAGATATACTCGTTCATGTATGACATATTCAAATGACCCCTGCAGGCAGAGTGTAAGAATTTTACTTGCTGTCCTCATTGTGCTATTCGTAAGAACCAACTAAATTTTGAATATGATATTTTGTCCTTCTAAGAAATATGTGTGTAATAAGATTAATCCATGTTTAACATCTTATTTCACGTGTAAAACTTAAAGTCAGTATTTAAACGTTTTATTGGTAAATGCTTTGTGACGTCATAAACAAAAAAGATATATCTTAATAATGTATGCAAACACACATAATTCAAGATCAGCGGTCAAGATCAAGGTCAGTATTTCTACTTTTCCTAACTAACATATAATGCGTTATGATACATTGACCAGGGGTTATGAGTCAAATGTTAAAGCACACTTCCTTTTCCTTTTACTGGGAAGGATTTTGTAATGAGTAATGTTTTATCTAACATTTCTTTTATATTATATTTAAGTGGTGTGTTGTAGCGTCAGATGTCTAGCTATACAATGTGTTGTAACATGAAACTATACAGCACGATATAACTACACCGTATAATAAGTTTGCGTGCCTTTAGGACAGAACAATACCGACACGAGTATTTTGTAGAAGCCTATCGGATGTCTCGAAAAAAACCAGAGAAACAAGTTGTTTACCTGTTTGTATTATTCAAGGCAATGTTTAAATTACTGACTAAAGTAGGATGGATGGAGACAGTCGTTCTGAGATTTGGAACTAGCTTCAATGTACATATATTTCCTGCCAGTGGTAAAAATCCTTTCAATACATTCTGGAAAAAGAATTAATCCCGTAACTCACAGGCATTGAAATACTGTAATACCACCAAAAGAATTTTTATGTAAGTACAATTCTTTTCTTAATTGTTATGTATTATGCAAGTATAAATAGTGTGTGATTCACGCTCACTACCCTTGGCGGTTTGTGTTTCTCATGAAGACCGGACGGTGTATTTCGTCGGCCTAGAAATGATAAAACCAGACATTGCACTGATTAAAACTAAAATGCATCAACTCAAATTCTTAATTAGTTATTATAGTATAAAAGCAGGCAAAATAACTTGAGCCGTTAATAAAAAGGATAGGCAGTAGACCAGCTTTAAGGGTATGTTATAAGGATTGAACAGTCAACATACTTGGCGTCATGCCAAGCGTTTCAATTTGAAAAGGTTAAGAGTTAAACTTACATTTCAACACTCGCATGGGAGATAGGACACAATATGAGGCCGAGTAGGAAGTGAAATTAAAGGAAGTCAAATTCAACCCGTTATCAGATGACTAAACAATTATGTCTTGATAATTTCATACCATGGTTTTTAAAAATAATAATAAATTTATTCAGGATAAAGATGTATAGATTTATATACAAAACATATGAGTATATGGCACATATAACATGTTATACATAATCAGGAATAAGTTGTTAGCTATATCTTTAATGTATCAGCAAGTGATATTTATAAATAAAGACAAAAGTACATATATCCTAGGATTTCCCAAAAAAAAGCGTTGAAACGCTTATTTCCATTGGCGTCCTTAAAATGGATTTACAAATGTATTTCCAGCAATAATATACATAATAGCTATCATGTTTCTCTTGAAATTTGTTTTGAAAGTGACGTTTCACTTGGGTTTTGAACTTAATCTTGTTTGGTATACTTTTAATATAATCTGGAAGAGAAGAATTCCATTCTTTTGTGCCTGTAAAGTAGAATGTTGTAGATTCTTTACCTTGTACTGGTGGGAGACTGAAATTATATGCCGAGAATCGAGTATTTTGTAGACATGTATTCTTGTTAAAGGAAATATACATATAGTTTGGAGCCTTTTAATTGAAAACATTAAACATATGATTCATTCTGATTTGACTAACCCTATAATTAATGTCTAACATGTTTGTATGCAAAACATCACTGCATCTGATACTGTGCCTGTTTTGAACATTCAAAATAAATCTTATTACTTTGTTTTGTGCTACCTGTAGTTTATATTTTAGTTTTTTTGACAAATCTTCATACCAACCAGCACTGGCATAGTCGAAATGACAAAGAAACAATGCCGAGCAAAGAGTTTTTCTCGACCTATACGATAGACATTGCTCGTTTTTGTAGAGAAATTTTAGTCGTTGATTTACTTTTTTAACAATTGAATCTACAATTTCTTCACCTGATAGCAAATCGTTAACGTCTATACCATAAGTTATGTCGTAATAATTAACTCGGAATGATACAGAGTGTTTAAAACAGGCTTTAATTTTCTGTGCGTATAATGATTGAATCAAAATAGTGTCCATGTTTAGTATATATGTAGCAAATATACAAAGTAATATATCTCCTTGACATTTTAGCAATGTATTGTACCAGAAACAAATGTAAATATATTATCCATGTTCGTGTGTGTAAAAGTAGGGATTACGAAAATTGATCATTTATAAAACACATCTAACTTCAAAATAAGCTTTTGAAAATATGCAACCTTGGACATTTTGCAAATAATTTATGATTGAATTTACGGTTTATTCATTTATTTATTTATTTATTTACAGAATGACGTCATTGGTGATATATATGATAACAATTGGATTTTGTATATTGGAAATTGACTCATTAAAATGTGCATGCGGAAAGATTAAAACACACGTGTTTATTGTAAATGATGATGACAATGGTGGAACAACAAAGCATGATTTCCTTGACCCTGGTCAGTGTCTGGAACTCGCCGCCGAACATCGTCGATTCTGGGTGGCTGTGTCATATTCTGGAAAGGTATGTGTAAGCTATGTCGTAACAGTCGAACTTCAGAGTTCATCTCGACAATAAACACTTAACTGTGTAAACCAATGTTACCATTCATAAAATTTTAGTCTTTTCGTTCACAATGAAGCCATAATTCTTGGCATAATTGTATTTTTGTGTGTAAACAGTGTACGATACGGCTGTGGTGCCAGCGAACGTGACGTCATTGTTCCAGTAGAATATATCTTCTTTCCATTACCATTAATACTTAGTGATACGCCCATTATCATTATTAATTATCATCATCATTATTTTTTTCAGAATGCATTTTTACAGAGTCATGAAGTGATAATCATGGATTGTCAAAACGGTATGTACAGTGTATCAAGGCTATTGTTGTTAGTGTAACTCACATGCTGAGATTGCTTTAGCCAGAGGCGAGCTGGAGTCTATTTGTAATTGGGGTTTGGGTTTTGTTTTGCTTGTCTCAAGCATTTTACTAATACACTTGTATTGTCTCCTACTTGTAGTATCAACTATTTAACTTTATTACACGTGTAATGTCTCCTTCTTGTCTCAACCATTTACCTAATACACGTGTATTGTTGCCTTCTCGCTCAACCATATACATAATACACGTGTATTATCTCATCCTTATATCAACGATTTAACTATATTACACGTGTGATGTCTGCTACTGGTAGCAACCATTAACCTAATACACGTGTATTGTCTCATTCTTTTATCAACCATATACGTAATACACGTGTAATGTCTCCTACTGGTAACAACCATATACTTAATACACGTGTATTATCTACAGTCATTTACACGTGTACCTTTACCATGTGTACAGTCAGTCTCCTACTTGTCACAACCATTCACCAACGGATAGTCTTTTATTACTGTATATATATCATAAGTCAGACATTTACTATTTGATCGTTGTCTTTTTAACCTACCTGTCTCAACCTTTGAACCTTCTTCGTCCGTTTTACTTTCTTTTTCTTATCATTTTGATTTAACCCTGAAAAAAACATACAAACTGTAATTACAGTGCTAACACACATTTTCATTCCTAAGTATTTCAGCTAACAGGTTTGGTGCGTGATATTGATTATGAAGCTTGTCTTATCACATGCATCAGATACATATAACTTATCCTAGCAGAACAGTTTCGTTGTTGTGATGTTGAGTATCAGCCGACTACATAGATTTAATGCATATCTAGCATCGTATGCTGTTTC